CCCTTGCTGTGGCAGTTCGCCTGCCTGCTACCGAGCACCAGAATAGAAGCTGCTCTCCGTGAAAAATCAAACCCCAGATTGATATGTTAGAGGCTGCTAAAAAAAAAATATCCATCTGCAAAGATAATAAGCCTGTGAGGGCAGGGGCTGTCGAGTTGCTCCATTTCAGACAGTTTAATGGAGTTTTGGTCCACGACTGCAGCTCCCAGACACCGGAAGGGTGACCAGGTGATGAGGGCGGCAGGAGCCGTCTGCGCGAGGCAGCAGAAGCCAAGCCCTAACGCCGGGGGCCATGCCGCACGCACCGCGACCCGCTGGCTTCCACCCGGTCCGGCTGGGGTGGCCTCCGCGACAACTGGAGGAGGCCCCAGAGTTTGAGCCCAATGCCGGGTCGGTGCCATGCTCGAGCCAACATGAATTTGGGGAGGGGATCTGTGCCTGCCTTGGGGCTCGCCCTTTGCCTGCACCCCAGGTACCGCCGCGGGCAGCACGCACGATGCTAACGCCGACGCAGGCAGAGCTGCACAGCCCATGGCTTGGCAACAGGTCCTGGACTGCACAGCGAAGGAACGAGCAGCGAGGCGAGCGGCTGCACGGTGCCCTCGGCGCCGCTGACGGACCGCGTCTTCTCCCCAGAGCCATTCCCGGGATTTTCTGAACTGCTGCTCCACATCGAGCAAATCCAGAAGCTGCAGTCGGCTCTGTTCAAGCGAGCTAGGCTTTCCCTTTCATTCCTAAGGCCCTCGTTTCACTCCTCACTGCTTTTACTTCCAGCTTGCAGGGACACACGCCACCCTGACAACATCATCAGCAAAGGGGAAAGGTGCCGCGACAGGGTCGGGTGCTGGGGTACCACGCTGCGCTCCCGGCTCCCGCTTGATTTCCCCACCACGAGTCCCTTGTTTCTGACACGACGACGCATCCGTGTCCTGACGACTCAGAAACCCCCCGCAGCCCCCAAGTCCCCGCTCAGCTGCGGTCCGGCCGCGTCCCCGTGTCGGGATGCTCCCCAGCGCAGCGGTAAAGGGAGAACGCACCTGGCCAAGCCTCGATGGCCAACAGCTGTTGTCACCTTAAGAGAAATCTTCATAAGGAAATACGAGGCAGCAGGCAAATAAATAAAGCGGGAGGCCTGTGAATAGAGCAGATCAATGGGGATGTTTATAGAGCAGGTGGCACTTAAACGCTACCATCAGAGTCAGTCGATGCTGGCGGCCACACCTGATCTCCCAAACAGAGACGAAAATGAAAGTACCGAGCAGTGGCAGCCAGCCCTGGAAAACCACGGACACTGGAAGGAGCGCAGCGAGGCATCTTTCCTGGCCCAAAACGGAACCGAAGAGATCGCACTCTGTCCCCAAAGCCAGGTTCCCGAAGCAGCCGCGCACCAATTTCCAACTTGCTCGTGGCCACGGGGCCACCGGGTCGTTTGAAGGAGCCTGGGACATCTTTCCAGCTCCTCTCCAGAGAGACAACCGACAAGCACCGGCATTTAGCATCAAGGCATCGACACCCATCCTAGGAATCATCGTCAGAGAACCATCTTCTCGCCAGGGAAGCCAAATTCCCCTCTACCCTACACCGGGCTCGGCCCTAGGTCCTAGCACGGAAGAGGAGACCCAACGCAAGACTCCTGCCACCACGTTTGAGGGTGCCGAATAAGGGACAGGATGGGGCAAAGCCCCCTCCCCGCGGCACGCCGGCAGAGCCCTGCGCCTCAATCAGCGCCCGCGTCCGAACGCAATCAGCGCTGATCTAACACAACGCAGCACCTGCGCCCCGGCTGATTTCTAGTGTGCTTCAATCAGGAGGAGGAGAAGGGACGCGGAGCTCGCTGCTGGCAGAGCCCAGCAGCCGAGAACCCAGAGCCCTCTACGCCGGCGGTGGGGTTTTGGG